ATAATATATAAGCAAATCTGTTAACCTGTTCTTAATATAAAACTAATAAGGCAACCATTTCCCAAGAAATCAAGCTATACATAGCTCAAGATACGTAACATGAATAAGATAGTTAACTCAATCACCGTTAGAGAAACCAACACTCAGAAAACCACATGATTCAAAACCACTAAACCCCCATCAAGGAAGTGTCCAACGTGATGGTTAAAACGAACTAGCGAGATCTACGGGAATGGATTAATGATAATGGCTCCAACAATTTTAAAGTGAAAATTAAATCATATCGAGAGGAATAATTGTGAAAGCAGAATCATTGTACAGAACTCAGAAGCCAAAAACCTCATTTTCTCTGGGACATGGTGGGAAGAGTGAATGACTAAGCTAGCAATTAAGACCAACGTTAAAAAAAAGACATCTTACCTTAACTTGAAGCCTTAAGAACTTCACATAGTCCAGAATCTCATCAAGCATTGCTGCCCTATCTGTCTGGCAAGAGAAATATAATATTTCAATACCCCAAGCTACCACATTCCTTTTAATTTCACCCTTTACACAAAGCACCCATTGATATTAGATGCAGAATAACTAAGACAAAGTCCAATTTCAAAAAGCCCAATTACTATAGTGTAAATTGAACCATCAGACACTCCACTGCAAATAAAAGCTTGCCTACAAGATGATTCATCTTATACCTGTTTTAGTGGTATGTATTACTAGTATTTATGGCGCCATGATGTGGACAAAAAAGTAAAAATTACTATTATTTGTAAACATAAGACTTCATTTTTAGAGAGCCGGAGTATGACATTTGCGATGAGTAAAGGAAAACCCTATTCACGAAAATAAAACCTGTGGCAGGTAACTAGACACTTGGACACACCTTATTGCAGCTGGGTACCAGTTCCTGCAAAGCCTTTATTCTTTCTGATATCCTCTCTCTTCTCAGCTGCAAGAAAAAAAGAAACAGATCATTATTTAGTACTACTTGTTTCTAGAGGACTCCCACAATAAATCACGTCTGCCCTTATGAAACGTAGATCTTACCCTCTCAGCAATGCTATGTGGATCTGTGGCTTGTCCCCTCCGAGCTCGAACCCTAGGACGAATTGAAGGTGGGTGCGGTACAGTTACTGTTGTGCTCGTTGTTGGTGGGCCTTGAAAAGGCTGCAAGAATCCAAGAGAAATTATAAGCTAGAAAAATGCAGTAATTATCTAGTCCCCTCATTGACAAAGAGGCCATGTTCGTCTTAGAGAAACATAATTTAAATCATAGTTATCAAGCATGAATCATACAACTAATTAAACTTCAAAAATAAAGAGAGTAAACAAAATAATGGATGCAATACCAAGCACCTAAGGGCTATGGGTGTGGTCTAGTGATCAAAGAGGTGGGAGAAGAACCATGACTCCACAAGGTCTAAGGTCTATTAAGGCAAAAAAACACCAGGTAATTTCTTCCTATATATCCAACCCTTGGTGGGTAGAGTTACCTGACACCCGTATTGAAGGGTGATAACAAAATACCCGGTGGAATAGTTGAGGTGAACTGGTCTTGACCACCACCATCTTAAAAGAATAAATATATAAGTGTTCTACCTTCTTATTATCAGATAATATGCCTCAATTAAAAAAATTTACCCTTCTAGCCCATACACTTTCCATATAGTCATTCGCAAGGAGCATTAAAATTGTGTACATACAGATTCTGGACTAGTTTCAGACAGCTCACCGACTACAAGTTTGTATATGCATTTAAATTTCAGCTTCTAAACCTTTAATCATTTAACCACAGTCTACAAAGGGCTTGACCACAAAGTTGTCTCTCATAAAACCTTGGGAAGCAAAATCCTGGAGCGGTCTAAACAATTGCAATATTTACAAGTCACAACAAAACTAACAATACATAAGACACTAAACACTGAAACCTATCAAAATCTTTCTTTTTCTAAAAAAAAAATCAACACATGAAAACTGAAATGAACTCAATTTTATATTTCCAGATATTTATATCGAAATATTATCTGTATTGGAGAATAATAATGAGCAATTCTGGAGAACATTTTTTAGCAACAACTTTCTCAATCAAAACACACACAGTGAGTAACCTGGACATGGTGAATAGAAGGCACAGAGTGACGAACTGCATGAGATTGCAAGTGTTCTAGACCTGCATATAAATTTCCGATATTCATTCCATCTCTTTCCTGCAAAATAAACAAAAAAATAAGTTAAACTCGTCAGTTTTCCATCATAGATATTATAAAAACTGGAAAATGCCAAACGCAAAAAAAAAAAAAAAAAAACTTACATGCTTCACTGCATAAGCACCAGCTTCGCTGACGTCATCACGGCCGTTATCCAAGCTCAATCCCAACGGGAACAAAGGTTGCTGTAGGCCAGAAGCAGCGGCAGAGTTAAGATGAGATACGGCAGACGCCGCGGTAAACGACGTCGTCTCTGATGGAGTGCCAACATCAGCAACCGGCAAGCCATAGGAAGGAATAGCGAGAATTTGCTCGAGGAAATCATCGGCGTAGGCTTCCGGTTGGTTTGCTGCCATGCCGGAGATTTACCCGGCGAAATTATTTTTTTTTCCGGCGAGAAGAAGTTAAGGGTTTTGAGGAACTGAAATGGAATGTCTCTGTTTGGCTTTCGTGCTTTGTGGCATGCGTTTAAAAAGTGTGATGATTTTTTGATTACTTTATTTTTTGCTGGTAGCCCCCTGGAATTCATTGTAATGTTGTCTTTTGCCTCTATAGGTTTTGCAAATTGCTCTTTTCTTTTAACAAAAAGATTTGTTAACGGTGCACGTGCATCATTAGAAATTCGGTGGATAATATAACAATAATAATATACTCAGTGAAATTTCAAGTGGATATGGTGCACGTGCATTATTAGAAATTTAGTGGATAATATAACAATAACAATATACTCAGTGAAATTTCAAGTGAGATTGGGAAAGAATAAAGTATACAGAGATCTTATAACTATTTCTTGGAGATAGAAATGTTGTTTTAGAAAGATAATTGGCTCAAGTGCATCAAATTCAAAATTTGGTGGATGATGAGTCTGTTTATTTATTCCTCTTCACGTAAATATCAGATTTTTATTTATAATAGCTTGAACGTCTAACCACAATATCTAGGTTCTTTTCACTAGATCAAAAAATTTTGTGACCAAATTGATCATTATTTTTATTACTGATCGGGTCCTGAAAAAACATAAGTTTACTTTGACAGATAAAGGCAGAGCTAACTCTTTGGTTATGGATTAGGTTAAATCTAGTACCTTCGATCTAAATTTTAATTTTTTATTAAAAACTCGATTAAATATATACAAATTATCAATTTAAAACTCGATAAATTTAAAGAAGTAGAATTAGAATTATGAATTTGAAATTCTTACTACGCCTCTATTGTTGACATAGAAGGGATATTCCTTGTGTTACTAATTTAATGTTGTGAAGTAGTAAGTATTATCTATATTTGTTACTAAGTGTGGACTTGTGCAAATAGATTATATTTTCCATCTTATAGTAAGTAGATTAAATTTGATAAAGAAAATATTTGAAAAACCACTCTGATTAATTTCCTTGTTATAGAACATCAAGACACATTGAAAATGTTGTCTAGTTATTGTTGCTTAAAATAAGAAATTGTTTTAATTGATGTGTGTGTTGTGACTTGTGTGTATGTATACATTAAAAGTAAGTGTGTGGTCTTAAGAAACATAAATGTTTTCAACTTCTTGAAACGCAAATTATTTTTTGTTACGGTAGAATTATTCGATATTTATAATGATGAGATATAACAGGTACTTGATATAATAGTTGAGGTATGCATATGCAAGTTCTATGCATTATTATGTACAATTGGTTTACATTCCGTGGATTGAAACAAATGATGCAATTGTGTCCCACGCCTTCCTCGCCTCGTCGTATAATGGCGTGTTCCATGAACATCTCCTTGATCAAATTTAAAAAGGAAGAGTGTGTATTATCATTGTTATGACTTATGTAGTTTGTTTTTGTTTATATTGGCAATCCTAAAATGCAGCAAATATTGAGGCACTTCTTTTATACTCTTTTGACTTATGGTTAATGTATCTTTCATACACAATAAGATTAAGAATAAATGAGAAAAATAATCCAAGTATGTTGACATTTTGGTTGAAATTGAAGATAGGAGAAACTTTTAAAACTTCTCATCTAGAAGTTGACAAACAAATTAAAGTAGAATTGCTACATATACGTATTTGACTATCTAAAACATCATATGCATTTGAAAATTCTTTGTTATATATAGTTCTATCAATAAATGAATTTGACTACTCTCATCAACAAATCTAGGGAAGTTTTCATTAGTTTTTATTGTCAATTTATAGTTATATTACGTAGTTCTTCAACTAATTGTTTAAAAGACTAACTTTCACATAATTCAATTTAAAAAATTAGCTTATGAGGTGAAATTATCCAAAATTACATTAGGAGATCAATTACTTTTTCACAACTGATGTAGGACTTTTTAACACTCCCACTCAATGCTTAGAACCAGAAATCCAAAGTAAGGATAATATAACATGGGAGTTCAACAAGAAGTAGATAAATCAATAAGTTTGACTTTGATACAATATTGATGTACGTACACATCTCATTTAAAAGCTTAAACGATTAAAAAAGAGCACATTTTGTTAATTTAATTATGTCTTCAAACATTAAGTAAAGGTATACAAGAGAGATTCATATTAGTCCACCACACGAAATAGAGCAAGTTGTAAAACAATATTCACTCGTACATTAAACTCCCTCAATTTTGGCTAAACAATCTATGATGATCAGACTCTTCAAATATATATTATCGGCTATGCGTTGAATTCTTCAAAAGTTATACAATTTTAAAGAATCCGAGCAACTTAACATAAAAACACTCATTACAACATAATATATATTCCACTTGACCAACCTTAAACATCCTCTTATTTGAAATTGGATTTTCCACAACTACTAGAAAAGATAATATTGGAGTAATATTACACATATATAGAAGCAAACTTTAAAGTAAAGTAAAAACCTCAAAACACAATAATACTACTCACTTCAAAACTACTTTTACATAATATGCTAAATAGATATGTCCCCTATCTTGCTGTGACTTGCCTTGGAGATAGTCCTTCCTCTGAGTCATCAGTAAATAGATCAATACTTTTAGACAATGCATACACAATTTCAATCATCCCTGGCCTTCTTGATGGATCTTTATTCAAACAAGAAATAGCCACAGACATCACATTCATAACACTCTCCATTGTTAACTCTTCCCTTAAAAGACTATCATCCATCCATTCTTGCAATTTCCTCACCTTCCTCTCTTCACTCCCTTCCGAAAAATCGTTAATTTTAGCCCACAAGACTTTCCCTTCATCATCAATAGCCTCCTTCCCTGACACTAGCTCGAGCAACACAACTCCAAATGAGAAAACATCCATCTTAGTGGATACAATGCCATCGGTTAGGTACTCAGGGGAGATGTACCCCTGAGTACCTACAATGTGCATTGTTATAGCATTGCACCCTGATTTAGCTAGACCAAAATTGGCAACTTTGGCTCTCATGTTGGTGTCTAGGAGAATGTTGCTAGTTTTGATGTCTTTGTGGACAACTCTTGGCCTTGTATGTTCATGAATGTATAAGAGACCATTTGCAACATCAGTTGCAATTCTTAGTCTTGTTTTCCAACTCAATTTTTCAGGTTTTTCACCATGAATCCATGAATGTAGTGAACCATTTTCAACATACTCATAGACTAAGAAGCAATTTGCTTCTTTAGGGTCTATGCAAAAACCTTCTAGCTTCACCAAATTCCCATGGTTCACCTACACAAAACAACAACATACTCATGTAATCCCATAAAGTACAATCTGAAAAAGGTAAAATATACACAAACCTTATCATTACCTTAGAGATAGAAATACAATTTCTAATAGACAATTTAAACGATAATTGTTTGAAATTGAATAGAATAGTACATAATACATGATTAATAAAAAGTTATTGATTTATTCGTAGCGAAGTCCTAATTATAGTAACGGTTGCAAAATAGGACTTGATGACGTTTTATTTATTTAATAGGACAACTAATAAATCTAGTCAAAGTAGTACAGCCAAACCAAGCTAAAAGCATGACGCTTTTTTGGGAGACTAACAAAATTGAGGTCACAGACAAGAAATTTCATTTAGGAAGAAAATTTATTTTGAACTTTGTCTTGATAAAATAAATTATTAATAAAAGATGCTCTTTTCTATGGCAAAAAAAGAAAAAGAATTGTTTCTAGACATCTTGTTAATTTTTAATATCTCAATTCTTATCAGAACAACAATATATTTAGTAAAATCTTTATAAGCAAGTTATGAAAAAAATAATATATAAAAAAATTATTTTTGATATACACTCGACTCAGATGGCACATATGGGAGGGTCTCCTTAGGGACAAAAATAAAAAGGAAAACAAAAAGTGAATAATTGAGAAACAAAAAGAGGAGTATTTAATGAAAAGATAGACATCAGAGGACAAATAAATTGAGTATTAAATGATGTTGATTAGCTTAAATTATAAATTATCAAATCCCAACGGGCATAATGGTCCACTTAAATATTTAAATAAAGTACTACTAATGTCTCAAGAATACGACAGGTCACTAGACCTAATAATTTAAATTATTAAACATATATTTTTAATTAAATACTTAATCTGATCCATTGGAGGAAAAACAATTCTGCAGTGGAATTTTAACAATACTAAAATACCAATTGAGAAAATGACAAAAATAGCCTCTAAGGTGGGAGAACACTGAACAGGTTCAAAATAGTTCCTTAAATATGTAATCAACAGTTTTGAATTTTGATTCTTTAAGTTTATCAAAAGGTAACATTTTTAATCTTCGTCAAATACTTAATAATTTATGTTTATTAAATTTGACAAAAATAATAAATATTTTAATCATAAACACTAAAAAGATCTTATCAAATCTAAAATATACAACAGAAAACATTGCATACAGACATTTCATATCTTAAAAAAAATAAAAAATCTACACCAAATTATAGAAACAAATCAAAACCAATCAATCTACAAAAGTAGTACCTCTAATTGTGAATTCCCTCATTTCCTTTTTTTTTCCCCCATAATCCCATCAAATCTAACAGATAAATTCAATAAATATTTTATGAAAAATTAAAGATACTAATTTTTGACAAACTTAAAAAGATGGAAACTATCAAATAGTACATACTTAAAAACTATTATGAATCAACCCTCAACACATATGGACCATGTTTATTTTTCCTTTTTACTCTGCGTTCGATATACACTATAAAGTTCGACTAAAATTTGAATTCATGTCAGAATACACGCTTCCTAACCAAAATAACTCTATACCTAAGAGACTCAAATTCAAAACCTCTAATTACTAGACCATTTTATCATTTTCTAAAACATCAATTAATACACAAAAACAATTCTCGATAACATATCAAATATATAGAAAAATTCCATATGAAGAGTAAATTGCTCCTTAACAAAGACAATTTCGCATTCCGATGACTTAAATTCGAAAACTCTGATAAAAATGAAGTACTTGCTACTCTACTTCAACCCAGGTCGGTCCATGTTTATCATTTTCTCAATATCAATACACAAAAGCAATTCTTGAAAAGATACCAAAAGTATAGAAAATTGAGTAAAAATGTTACCTTCTGCAGTATTTTGAGTTCTTCACGAGCATTCCACTTCATTTTCTTGATTGCAAACACTTCACCATCAATTGTTCCTTTATACACTGATCCTTGTATCAAACACCCTTCATCAAATCCATCTGTTGCTTCCCAAATTTGTTCCATTTTATACATTTTATACTTATCCAAACACTCAGATACATCAGCCAACAAATTCACTTCAACATCTTTATCAACAAAAGACCCCTTTTTTGATCCAACATACAAACTTTTTTGTCTTTCTACATCACTATACCCTTCTTTCTTCACTGTTTTCTCTCTATAAAACAAACCAAGAACCAAAATCAATAAAACCCCACAAACCCCTAAACCAATTGCTAACCCTATAACAGTTCCTTTTCTGTCATTTTCTTGATTTACTGGTGCAGGGGTTGCAGGGGGTGTGGGTGGGGGTGGGGTGTTTGATGATGCTGGCTGTGTAAGATTAGGTAGATTAGAAAGAGGGATGAAAAGGGTATCAAGAATCTTGGTGTTATTTCCATTAATTTGTGTTATAGATTGTGGGGTTACCCTGAATCTTGAGGCGATAGAAGAAATGTTATCATTAGGTTGAAAAACATAACTTATGAGTAGTCTTGGTTGATTTTGTGAAGATGTCGTGTTTGGACATTTGCAAAAAATTGGGAATTTTATGGATTGACCTATGTCAATGTTTTCTGGTACGACGGTTGGATTAACAGCCTCAACAGATTGATAAGTAGTAAGATTTTGGTATTTAGATGTTGATATACCATACATAGTGTCACCTGATTTGAAACTGTAGTTAAAGCCAGCATAAGATATGCTACCAAAAGTTGTGTTGATGTTGTTACAAGAACATGTGATGGGGATAAAAAGGGGTTGATCATTAACAAGAGTTGTGTTTGGGTTGGAAATATTACTAGGGTTTGCTATCATTAGTCTACTTACTGAAAAAAGATCACCAATTGAGGCTAAATCAAGAAACTCTGGTGCTCTAGCTCTGTATAACACATAAGTTTGACATGGATTGAATTGGTTAGGATTACAAGTATATCCTGTTATGCTTGGTGGATCTTGTGCATAACATATGTTTTGGTTGAATATGAATGATAAGAAGAGAAGAAGTGAAAAACCAAATATTGGTTTTGTTATCATTTTTTTTGCTCTGTTTTTTTGTTGGAGGAGAGATGTGTGTTTGTATAAAATATGATGAAGTTATATAAGTTTATATACCAAACTTCGTCTTGTTTTTTCTCATATTTAGTGTCTTGGTTTTGACCATTTAATGAGTAATGGGGATTTTTTTTTCATTTGATTGGTTGTTGTTGCTTAATTTCTCATATGATGTTGTGTTGAACATTACGGGTCGTTTGGTATAGTGTATTAGCAAAAATAATGCATGCATTAGCTCTGTGTATTAGTAATATCTTGTTTGATACATTTTTTCATGTTATGTATACACTGTATTGTGTATTAAGGTATGTATTACTAATACCATGAATTTCTAGGTATCAGTAATGCATGAGGTTTTATAATGCATGCATTAGCATGGTTAAAAGCTTCATTTCCCCTCAAATATTTTTTTTACATCTTTTCCACCATAAATTGTAAATGATATCTTTGTAAATAAATATTTGTATACCATGCTAGTTTTAATACACCAAACCAAACAATGCATAAGAAATAATTTATGTATAATTAATTCAAGTATTATTAATTTAAGCATTACTAATACACTCTATCAAACGAAGATGGAGGTTTTCCAATTTGGTGGTCCCACCTAGAAGAGTTTTTTGTCAACCATATTGTAGAAAATACTCATATGTTTATATTTGTTGTTTTTCTGCAAGATGTTTTCACATGTTTGGACTACTAGCAATTTCTGAGACACATCTTTTTCCAAGGTATATAAAACTATTGCAATAATTAGGGAAAACATTATCCATTCAGAGTGGTTTGGTAGTTGGTTTGAAGTTAAGTTATGTAGATATCAAAATTTGCGTAAGTAATATTATGCTTGGTGGCTTATTATTTTATAAATTAAGTACGTGATTGATTTGCAATTTAGAAATTTGCATAACTAAGACATATATAAGTTATGAAAAAAATATATATATTATTTTATGCAAAATAAAAGATGAAATAACTAATACACAATATTAATTATGAGAAAATTTATGTATTATTTTATACATGATAGAGTATATAAATAACTAAACTCTGCATATTAATAGCCAATATTAAGCCAAACTTTATTTTCCAAATCAAACGTCAACTTTGGTCTAGAATCCTAATAGCCAAATTCCACTTTGGATTTATTTAGGAAGACCAAGACTTATAAACCTGACTTATGGATGCCAATGGGGCCTTTGAGGAGTATTGGAGAGGTCATTTATAAGGACTTTTTGCCATCGAATAGTGACACATAAAAATTCGGTATTATCTGATACTGCTTCATATTTTTATTTTTATTTTTATTTTTATGTATGCACATAATATTTTAAAATTTCATGCGTCCAATAAACTTGACAAAATAAGAGATAAATTCAAATATAAAGCCTCAATATTCTGAAACTCTTAGTTTTAAATTTTAAAGAGGAATTTAGGATCTGAGAGTTCTAAATATATAAAAAGTTTTAAATTTTAAAGAGGAATTTAGAATCTGAGAGTTCTAAATATATAAAATTTTAAGTAAAAGTTATTGAATTCGAACTCACACGTGATAAATCTACTTCTACTTTCAAGATAAATTGTGATGACAAATAGATGAGCATGCAAACTAATTTCTACAAATGAAGTTGAAAGAAAAAAAATACACATATATAAGATGTAGGATTCTCTGAATGATGTGAGACTTTTTAGAAAAACCTGCAAACTTGGTTCAAAATGGATAATATCATACCATGTAAAAATATTGGTCCAACAACTCGTATTAAAGCTAATGATTCGATGACACTATTAGGTGACATACAATTAATCTTCAAATTGGCCCATAAATGATGAAGACCAAGACTTTTAAACTTGACTATGGAAGCCAATGGGGTCCTTTGGAGAGTATTGGAGGGGTCATTAAAAGGACTTTTGCCATCAAATAGTGACACATAAATGCTTGGTATTGTTTGACACCACTTCGTATTTTTTTTATTTCTTACATATTTTCATAATATCTGAAATTTCAATCTTCTCAATTTGGCTAAACAAGCTAGTATTAGATAAAAAAATAAAGCCTTGAAATCACCCGTCTTATACCTAAATCTTAAAGGTTGATCCAACATTATAAAGTTTATTCTATGTACATATTTAATGAATTTCTCAACAATATACATGTTTTGAGTTAAAATTATTGAATTTTACTGAACCTGTACTGACTCCACGCATGAAAAATCCACTTATAAGCTAAATTGTGATGACAATTCTTGCAAAATAATTTTGCATACACCTATGTTATTCACTGCTGTCTTTGTGAAAGTGATCTTTGACTAAGTCCATTTGAACTAGTCATACCTTATCTTGTCTTAGTCAAGAGTTATAAAAATGAGAAGCACTAATTAAATTTTGAGGTTAGTTGAACCTCAAAATTTTAATTTTTGCTCCAATCAAAGCTTCAATTTGTGCATTTGTCACATTTAATTACTATGATTGATAACTTCACAAGTCATGAAAAATGTCATCATTTCTATTGCACCTCACCAAACTATCTGTTTTCACCTCTTTTGCCAAGTCCCAATTTTATTAGTAATTGTAATTTTTCCCATATCAAATCCTTTGTAAGCCCAACTTAAACTCGTATGTTTGAAGTTTGAAATTTGAAATTTCAATCTTGTAAATTTTAACATATTATTTTTTTACTATGTCATAGATAGCGGTTATCCAAGCGTCCTGTGTGTACTCTCTCTTTAAGTATCCTTAACAAAGACGGCGAATTCAGAATTTCTAAGTGGGAAGTAACGCAACATCCACTGCTCTTTTGTGACCATGTGTTAAAATTTAATATAAATAGTACTTACATCTTTTGAGAAATGATTAACTATTACTCTCTGTCCTAGTTTATATATGACTCACTTTTCTTTTTAGTTCGTTCGAAAAGAACGCCTAATTTTATATTAAGTAACAACTTAATTTTAAAATACTCATTTTACCCTTACTGAAATGATTTATAGTCACATAAACATCTATCACTTATTTTAGACCATAAGTTTCAAATTTTATTTTTTTTAAAAAAATCGTGTCAAGTCAAACTCATATAAAATAAAACGGGGAGAGTAGCACATAGAGCTAATGCAGTAGGTGTATTTACACCTACTTACAACAAGCAATATCAGAACATTCATAAAAAAATAATAATATAGAAAACAAAAAACTAAGTAACCAAATCATGTTAGTTATTATCACTTATCATGCAATCAAACATCCTATGCACTTCTTGATTTATAGAACTCTCATAGCACTAGCGGAATCAAGATTTTCATTAAAGAAATTCAAAATATAAAGAACTGATAAAGGGATTCGACATATACAAATAAGAAATAATATAACCTTGACCTTATATATATATACAGTGTAATTCTTCAGCAAGGGAGTTCATTAGAGTTTTTTTCATCTCTATGTAGTTAAGAAACATATACTACAGCCATGGATCAACACCAGAACATATGCATCCTCGAGTAATCGATGAAATCCAATGATCATTACGCGATTCAAATATATACCTTACGTATATATGAATTTGTTTCATTTTTATTTCTATCGTTTCATGATATCGTCTTTCTTAACAGTAAAATCCCATAAATCGCCATATTTCTCGTTGAATTCCCAAATGTCCATTGTGTTGTAATCCGATATTAACTTGTCTCGCGCACCTCTCTCCATATTATATATTTGAGGCTCGAAATTGTGTGCTTCACTTGGTTTGTCCATCTCAATAATGCAGAACACAATTGTAAAAACAGCTGCTCCAATGTACAAATACTCCCCCTGCATTGTCAAGAAGTGAAAATACAAGACTTTAGTTTGCTGGAAAAGGGCATTTTCGAGACTCGAAAAAATGAATGGAGATTTTTTTATCATGAACTTACAGGAACATTGAAGTACATTCCTGCAACAATTGCTGGAGGAAATAGCCATGAAATAATACCTATTGTCGAACACCAGAAAATAAGTTATCGTAAGTAAATAACTAAATAAGCACTCAAGGGTGTGATCTAGTGGCCAATAAAGTGGTTAAGAGTCATGAGGTCTCAGGTTCTATTCTCAGCGGAGAGAGTGACCTAGTGGCCAATGAATTGGTTAAGAGTCATGAGGTCTCATGTTCTATTCTCAGCGGAGAGAAAAAAAACTCCAGGTGATTATTTCCATCTGTCCTATCCTTTGTGGATGGCTATAGTTTTTTTTTTTGGTTTCTCACCCGGTGTCTAGAGCCCCGACTAAATTTGGATCGCACACTGCAGGGCACATTCGGGGGATGGCGCTCCCAACATGATTTTCTTCATATTCAGGGCTCGAACCCAAAACCTCTAGTTAAGAGTGAAACACTCTCATCAGTGCACCACAACCCATTGGTGGATGGATAGAATTAGATGATACTTGTTGATGAAAGATATCTCGTGGAATTAGTCGAAGTGCGAAAAGTAAATAACTAAATAAACAGATCATGTTAATGATCATGGTAATTTGTTACATACCTTGAAATCCTGTTGGGGGTGCGATAGCAGCATAATCTTCTGCTATGGATCCCCAAAATGATACTGAAAAGGCAAGTGAAATATAATTAAGGATAATTTTAAGTATAAATCCATTTACCTATTTATTTGTAAAAATAGCTACTCAAATATTGTGTTTTTTTGAAGAATTTGAACACGTGGAGTTCACCAATTTCACGTTGGACAAATATGAAACAATTTACTAAACGAAAAGTCGAACAAAGACTAACTTGATCGAATGCAAATAATACATTGGACAAATTTAGACATTTTTCCAAATCAAAATTACAAATTAAAAAGAGAAAAAAAAAACACATACATTGTTATGTACCTTTTTTATCTTCACTCTCAAAGTACGTATGATGATCATCGTATTTTCCAAAAACATAATCTTCCTGCAACAAATAAAAATAAAATAAAAATTAGTTAACATGCCTATGTCTTAAACTAGTGGTCGATAATATTAGTAGATGATTTCTTCTCATCTGTCAAAATTTTGGTGGAAAAAATTATTGACATAATACATAAATATGTCCTTCAACTTGGTTTTAACTAACATCGATGCCGTCTTACTTTGAGTGTGCACAACAACACAAGTAGACACTTATATAGAATTGAATAAATATATACATTTGTCTTACGTGACGTCCTACATGACAATTTTGTGTCTTACGTGACATACATAGGACGTGTCTACTTGTGTTCACCCAAAATTGGAGGACATAAATGTCAGCTATTTACCAAGTTAAAAGGACATTATGTATTATATCAAAATTATTCAATATCTATGTTGATAGAAGGTAGAAAACTGACTCGAACACCACAATTATTTAAAATCAACGAAGAAAAGAAACATTACAATGTCGATGCCATTAGTTCTCCATCGATCAACAGGATCTTCGTTAATATCTGGTTCTATCTCTGTTAGCCCTGCATACAATCTTGTTGATGATCTAAATCCACCACATTTTGTACCAATTTTCGAGGAAATCGAACCTCGAAAAAGAACACTACATTTTGTTGAGAGTACTGGATTAGGAACTGGAATTGTGGAGAGCAGTGAAAGTGTTAAAGAATTCTCCATTGTTGTTGAGTTGTGTTGCTCTGTTCTTGCTTGTTTACTCTCTGTTTTCTAACTTTATCATCCATATATTTTGAATGGTTTAGGCTATACGTGGATAAGGCTATATATTATGGTTTAATATTTTTTTAATATCTTTTTAGGCTCTTATTGTGTTACCACAATTACCGACCCCTTTAACTTAGTTTCATTTGAGATCTATGTCTTTCAACTTTGAATGTAGACAAGTAGATATTTTAACTTGTATAAAGTTGAATAAACAGTTATAGACGTACTACGTGACATAATGTACGTAAGACGCTATGTAGAATGCAAATTGTCATGTAGGATGTTACATAAGACGTGTCTACTTGTTCAATTATTCAATGAATTTATTTTAGTCAACATAACAAATAAATATTCAATGAATTTATTTTAGGGGGCCGCTAATAATAAAGGCAAATATGAGTCAGAGGGTCAATATTGAAGATATTTTTTAGCTAAAAGATTAACGTTAGGTGTATCTAGCCCGAAAGATAGATAAATCGTAGTTTTGTACCAATTCAATAACAAACAATAATAATAGTACTATTAGTCAATAATAATGTATTCAATTATTTCGATTTTAGAAATCTCATTAATTACGATTTTAGAAATCTCATTAATTACAAAAAGAAAAAATTGATTTGAAATTATCCAAATTTTAAAAAGGCAAATTGAAGTTATAACCAACTTTTTTTTGTTATAAATTCATTAATAGCTAAGATTTTGCCAACTTTCCCCCCCCCCCCCCCCCCCCCCCTATAAATACATGGCTAAGATAACAATTAAGTAACAAAGAGATATCAATAAAAAAATCCATATAATTATTTTAGTGCAACCAAAATTAGTACTTGGAAGAGAGAATGGACAAGGCAACATTCCTAAAGGTTTTCTTGGTGTCTATTTTGCTAGGTATAAGTACTAATCAATTATAATCTCTTTTTATTTAATTTTATTATGATAACTCTATTTTTTTCTATTGTCCACAGGGTCGTCTCGACAACATTGAAGGCCTAAATTCAAATTTTATAAAGAAACCTTAGTGAAATCTGAAGAGGTTAAGATATATATAGGCCTTATTATATAAGAATGTAATCAATGCAAAATTTAATGAAAATTTATAATATAATGTTTTAAGATTTGAAAAGTTGATATAATGTGCTACACTGGATTTTTGATTAGTTGTGTCACGATCCAGATCGTCGTGATTGACACTCACACTAACCCTCCAGTGGGAGAACCACTACTACAACCCAAATTAAGCAACTTAACAAAAAACTAAGACATTTAAAGATACGGAAGCAGGTTTAAATGTCTAAGAAAAGGAAAATAGGGAGTTCCCATAAACTCCAACAAAAGTCTAACAAAACAAATGCGGAATAATACCTAGAACCTGAAAGTCAATGTACCAAAACATCTAAAGTTCAACAAGTCTAAGAAAATGGGTACCACCCAATTTAATATAAGAAATCCTAATGTACTAGTTTAAGTCCGGAATGGAGACATAAACGAAAAGAGAACTCATGGCAGCCCGGAAGAACTGGCTCACCCTTGAATTCAATGACGATCACTGATCTTCTAAATGAGGTCTGTCAATAGCCGTTTGAAGATGCCCTGTACTCAACAAAGAAAGAACAAGTGCAGTATCAGTACACAACCACAATATACTAGTAGGATCACGCGGCTATCCACTAAGTGCAACATACATACGTCATTACAACATAATAATAACATGCATACACCGAACATATACAATATCAACATCATTTACGAACACCGTATAATTTCACTTATGTCAAGTCAATGATCCTCTCATGGAACCCACACCCAAACAGTTAGTGTACCGGTACGTGGTACCCGTTCTAAGTTAGTGTGTCGGATAGTGACACTTGTTCCAATATTTATGCTGGTACGTGACAGTCGATCCCAGTTAGTGTGTCGGAACATAACACTCGATCCATTCAACAAGCCACAATCACAATCACAATCACAAGTACATTCTCATAATCATACAATCAAGTCATTATTCATGGTATTCAATTATCCGTCTATCCTTATTTACGATTAGTGAGATTAACCATGCAACATTCGCATACATACATGCATTATAATGAAACAAGAACAAATTAAACATATATCACACAACATGAAATCACAACCATCACCTACCTCGAACAAAGCTTGAAATCCCATAAGAAACTTGATTCTTCCCTTTTTAGATTATTTCCGCTTGTTCTTGGTCTACAAACAATCAATATAATGCTAGGATCAATAAACAAGACTTAATTACTTGGACTATAATCAGATTGTATCAACCCTAGGTCAAATCCTTGATCCCAATATCCAAATTAGAGCTTTCCCTACCATCCAAACAGTTCCAAAACCCTTCCCTGACAATAATTACCCACGAAACTAAGTTCTATAGATCGAAAAACAGATTCGGGGAGTGAAAACCTTACCTTTAGCCTCAAGAATGGTGGAAAACTGTCAAGAAAGCACCTGGGGTCATCTCCTAGCTCTTAAAGTCGAAACTTGTAGAATAAAATGATTTTGGGGTTTATTTTCGACTTAATTTGTGACTGGCCCGCCACAACGGTCCTCACCCCTCTACAACGGCCCCACCCTGGTGGAAATAATCCTACCACAACGGCTTGCACGAAACCAATGAGTCGATTTAAGAGTTTCAAACCCCCATTTCACAACACACCTCCAACCCATGACACTCAGAAACTACCCGTTCACGGTAAGATCAGTTTCTGGAGTTCTACTCTCCCGAATTCAATTCCGTAAAGTCGCACGGGTTCTTTAACGTCTTAGCTATCTACTCATGTGATCAAAATCATAGTTAGATCACCCAATTGTTACCAATTTTCTCTAGACCTTACTGACTTCGATTTCGTCCAAATCTGGACTAGGTTGGGAAATTCCAAATTACTACAAAAAAAGTTTTCCGGCCCAAAATTTTTCCCCATTGGCTTTTCTGTAACGATGGGAACAAGTCGTTACAAGTTGATACAGTGGTATTGAAATAATGGACAATCAGATAAGACGAGTATGAATTTTAGTTGGATCCCCTGTTATGATTTGGGTTATAATAAATTGAGGATCGATTTAAAATAGATCAATAGGAAATATCATGAAATAATATTTTTTAAAATACTACTCCCTCTGTCTTTATTTTCTTATCCATTTTTTGACTTGACATACCTATTAAGAAAATAATAATTGACATAGTGAGTTTACCATTTTACCCCTATTAATTGATAGAATTTCAAAATCAATTTACTCATTAAAGAGGTTCTACCTTTTTCAAAAACATTAACTCTCTAAATAAATTGAGGTTATAATAGGTAAAATAAATAATTCTTTTTTCTTGATTTGTCAAAAATAACAAGTAAAAATTTAAAATTGGACACGTAAAAAGGGACAAGGAGAGTATCTTTCAAGTGTATTGGGTAAGAGCATGAATTATATGTGGTTTTTATTACTTAAATTTGGACCAAACAAATCCATCAACATAACAAACAAATATTTAATGAATTTATTTTTGGGGAGTTGTTAATAACAAGGGTAAATATGAGCCAAAGAATTAATATTGAGGATATTCTTGAGCCAAAAGGTTGACATCAGAACATTTTAGACTTTTCTCCATTAATTATAACAAACAATTATAATAGTATATTTAGTCAATAATGACATGTCCGTGACCCGTGTAACCAATCTTAGAAATCTAATTAATTACTCCCTTCATCTCAATTTATGTGGCATTTTTTGAATTTTGAGATTCAAACAATTCTTTGATTGTAAATTTTTCATTTATCTTTTAATTATTTTGAATTGTCAATCACTGTGATTTATAATACTTTTTACGTAGTTTACAAATATATAAATTTTGTTTCAAAAAAATTAAAGATTCCACGCGTAAATTTCCGGTCAAACTTAAATTGGTTCACTCTCGAAAAACGAAAAGCGTCCTATAAATTGAGACAGAGGGTGTACAAAAATAAAAAAATGGATCTCAAATTATCCAAAATATAAAATGGCAAATTAAAGTTATAACTAACTTATCCAAATAGCTAGATTTTATTTAACTTGGTCAACTTTTTTTCCCTATAAATAGATTGCTAAGATAACAATTAAGTTACAAAGAGATATCAATCAAAAAATTCATATAATTATTTTAGTGCAACCAAAATTAGTACTTGGAAGAAAGAATGGATAAGGCAAAATTCCTAAAGGTTTTCTTAGTGTCTTTTTTGCTTATTTTGCTAGGTATAATTAAGTACTAATCCAACTCTCTTCAATTTTAATCTCTTTTTATTTAATATAATTATGATAACTCTAGTTTTTTTCTTTTTAATAACTTATTCAATAATGTTAATGGTGTTATTAGGACAAGGAAGCAATGGGGGGCTTGTGTGCGATGTGGATGAAGACTGTGATCACCAATTGATATGCGAAGTTGGGAAACCATTATGTAACCAAAAGACTCGTACTTGCTATTGTCCACCGGGTCGTCACGATAAGATTGGAGGCCTAAATTCAAATTTTATAAAGAAATCTTAATGAGATACAAAGATGTTAAGGTATATGTAGGCCTTATTATATAAGAATGTAAGCAATGTAAAATTTAATGAAAATATATAATATAATGTTTTAAAGATTTGAGAAGTTGATATAATGTGCTACACTGGATTTTTTATACGTCGTTATAATGGTATTGAAATATTGTTTACTTGTTGGAGTGTTGGGAATTTGAAGAAGTCATCAAAAAGAAAAGGGAAAATGACAAATATACCCCAAACTATCGTAAATGATATGCTTATATATCCTCCGTCATACTTTTGGGACATTGGTGCTCCTACCGTCCAAAAACTAGAGCATATATACCCTTTGTACTAACGGACATACACGTGTCATAATCTTATCCACCAACCCAACATTTGTTAAATATCAAATCAATGAATAAGATTGTGCCACGTGTTCCTATTCAGTCTCCTGTTAGAGTTAAGGGCATATATGCTCTAGTTTTTGGACGACAGGGGCACCAATGTCCCAAAAATATGA